ATTTGGGTCATTTCATTTTGAGAAAAGACAAATATATTATTTTTTAAAACTTTTTATCCGTTATTGAGCTAAAGGACCCTACACTCCGCTATACTTATTTCAGGCTTGCAGACTCTGGGCCAGTGTTTGGGTAGAAACCAGTTAATCCACCAGTATGTTTTGGTAGGCACCCAGAGCATTTACAAGTCATTCCTGTGGTATGGTTTTATTTTGAATTATGGCTTCTAACTTTTCTATTATTTTTAAGGGACATATTTATGTCAAATATAGTCGCCAGGAAGCAAAGCACATAAAGAAATCCAAATAATTAAATCTTATTGTATATCAACTTTACATTTTGAGCCTCACTTGGCTAGGGCAATGCCAGTTAAGGCTTAGTTTTAATGTACTAAACATTACTTACAGCAACCAACCAAAAAAAAACCTTTAAAAGAGAACTATGGGGTATCCTTTTTATCCCATAGTTCTCTTTAGGGTAACGGCAGGACATATGCTAGCCTCCTCCGTGAACCAAATTTCAGTATATAGCTCGCTATATACTGAGACGCCGCAGCCAGGACTGATCCCAACAATACTGTCGAGATCCACCCAACTGGCTCATTGACAACTGGCTTTGCCTATCTAGAAGCAGAGCCAGCTTGGCCCGCCCCCTCCCCCGTCCGTTCCTCCAGTTAGCGCTGAAGGATCGGAGAGGGGAGGAGGGAATCTCAGCGGGGAGATGATCAGGAAGTGAGTGTGCGACGGTATGCGTTCGCTCATTTCTTGATCAGTAGAGCCAACGTGTGACAGTTTCTTTGTTCAGTAGAGCCAACGTGTGACAGATAGGTTTTGGACCTGCTGTGCCTGAGTTTTCCTATAAATTCAGCCCAGTGTCAGCAACTTTGATGAAATGTGTATGCTGTCCGCACTGTTTCTTTATAACCGTCAGTGCTGGACTGATATTCTGGGGCAAAACAGTGCTAAAAATAAGTGACATTAAACCAAAATATTGCTAACCTCTGTCATTCACAATCCTCTCTTGGAATAATGGGGGCCCATTGTTGGACTCCTTCTGAAATATTTGATGCTTGGCTTCTATGCTAATATGTCTCAGATTTGGAATAAACAAAGCAAGTGAAAGTTGAGGAACAGTCAGAATTCGTAATCTTCTAATACTTATAATGGGTTTATGAGTATTAAAGCTTGCATCAGTAATGATGCCCCAACCAACTAGGATCTTCAAATTTAGACATCAGCAATTGTAGCCTATAATTTTCTCTCATAGAAGTTTTTTTTTAAAACTGTCTGTAACACCTTAACCAACCCTTAAAATTACTCAATAAGGATTGACTTCATCCTATCCACTAAAATGAACCCTAAAGCTACGGCGCCCTGGTTGCCATGGCACCCTGTGCGGCCGCACGGCTCGCACACCCCTAAGGCCGGCCCTGGCTTTACCCATCTGTTAACTTCAAAATACCCCTAACCAATAACCCAAGCACTAGCAATAACTTAACTGCTAAACTTGCCTACTTGCTTCTTGTGTGCACCATATCCTTTTTTTCTAGCGGTATAGAAAATCTGAGGTCAATAGAAATTTGGATACTCTTGACACTGTCTCAAGATGTTGCCCAACTTAGAGGTCAAGACCCTAAGTGCCAGCACATTTCTAGTTTAAAGGAGAACTATGAGGTGAGTGATTTTCACTCAACCTCATAGTTCGAGCCGTTGTGTGACAATGGAACTGTCACACGTCGGCTCAATAGATCGGGAAGTGAGCGAACACATACCATTGCTCGCTCACTTCTCGATCCTGTCCCTGCAGAGAGCCGTGACTGTCACGGCTCCCTGCAGGGATTCCCCGCTCCGATCCTCCAGCGCTGACTGGAAGAACGTACGGGGGAGGGGGCAGGTACAGCTGGCTCTGCCTCTAGATAGGCAGAGCCAGCTGTCAATCACGCAGCTGGGTGGATCTCGACAGTAATATCGGGATCCGTCCTGGCTGCGGTGGTCTCAGTATACCGCTGGTCGTAGCTTGCGGTATACTGAGCTTTGGGTCACGGGAGGACGCTAGTTTATGTTCTCCCGTGACCCTGAGGAGAACTATGGGGAAAAACACTTACCCCATAGTTCTCTTTTAAAGATTCATGTTGTCAAGTATGCACCAGATTGTTCTAGACACCTTCTGTTTGCTTTCACAACAGGAACAAAAGTGCAGTTATTGCTTAGAGAGGTCAATTAGATTCTTGATTTCCTTCTTCCCTACAGAATTTTGGATGAAACTTGGTTGGTTGCAATAGGCAACAGTTCCACTGTGTCCCAGTTTGTTGCAGCTCCAGTGGCTCTATGTGTTTTAAAGGAAGGAAAGAGGAACATTTTATTGTTTCCATAAGAGCCAATAATCTGTTTCCTTTTCTGGCATAAAAATTGCAGAGGGAATCTGGATGCTGATACAAAATTCCTGATAATTACTGTGTTTAAACAGCCATCAAAACTGTTTCCTCAAACGTTCACAATGAAAATGAGTGAGGCAACTACTTTTTTTGTACGGTTTTTATTCCCCTAAGGTATTAATAGTATTTTTGTCTTTTAGGATTACATGCAAAATGTCCATGGTAAGGAAATAGACCTCCTCAGGACTACAGTGAAGGTTCCAGGGAAAAGGCCTCCACGAGCCACATCATCCTCTGCACCCATTGCCAGCCCCAAAACCAATGGACTAACCAAGGAAGTCAGCGGGCTGCAGATCTCCCCTAATACAGGTGTGTATTGGTAAAATACTAATAAGTCTGTGTACACTTTGTAGAAGGATCTCCCGTATTTAGTCCAGGAGCGCACTGGAAGTGGTGTATATGTGTGCTCATTGGAATATATTCTGCTGTAAACCAGCTCTGTTAATGGTTTGTGTACAGTAACAACGCCACATCCTATTACTAAACGAATGTGCTTAACAGCACGTGTTAGGAGGCAATGAAAGCTGCCTTCAGAAATAGCTTGTTTTATTTTTAAATTGAGCTCAAATAATCTAATACATGTATCAGAGCATACTGACATCTGTTTTATGAAAGGCTGACTTTCACCGTAATGAATGTGAATAACTATGAACTCTTTTCATCTGTGTCATCCACTTTTTACACTGTTTTGCTAGTTATAGTTAATGGACTCACCTCTGAGTATTTTCATATAATATGAAGGTTTTCCAGTAATGGATGTTTTTATTCTGTAATGAGCGATTGTCGCTTACTTTCGTACCATGAATACAATTGTAGAATTGTATTTTAGCCTTCCTTTGTCATTGTCTGTGTGGATCAGAACTTGTATAGCACTTTGTCTGTGTACCAATTATCTGCAATATAAATGACTATGTAGTGTCTTCCAGGGGCGTAACTAGAAATCACAGGGCCCCATAGCAAAATTTTGTATGGGGCCCCGTGATTGCTAGTTATGCCACTTGCAGAGCCTCAGCGGAGAGTGACCTGCAGAGCCCACCATAGACTCTCTATAGTGGGCTCTGCAGGGTCTGAGATCTCTTACCTGTCAGCGCCTCTGTGGTCGCCGGGCCCCGACTCCTGTTCAGTCCCCGGGCCCGGACTCCTGTTCAGTCCCCGGGCCCGGACTCCTGTTCAGTCCCCGGGCCCCGACTCCTGTTCAGTCCCCGGGCCCCGACTCCTGTTCAGTCCCTAGCGGCTATGAGGAGAAATGCGCCGTGGGCGCTGCTGAGCTGTGTCTGTGACAGCCAGCACCCCCACATGCCATAGCGACCCAGGCGGCCCTGGCTGGGCCCCATAGCGGCCGCCTGGGTCACTATGGCGATTGTTACGCCACTGGTGTCTTCGTACATTTTCCTTGGTATGAATAACTAGAAGTTTATTTGTAGAAATTGAAGCAAAGAAAAGCCCATTGTAATCAGTCACACTTGTAGTACTGTTGTTGTTGTTGTTGTTATTATTTATAACCTTTCTATGTGCTTCTGTATATTGGTTATTGACTAATCACTAAATGTCACCATCCTCACACTGGACCTCATACATGAATAGTGCAGGTGGTTTATCGAGAAACCAGTCATATTCCGGGTGTCATCCTTTAAGTTCACATTAGAAAATGAAGCAAGTTACCGATTAGCTGCTGTGTGCACCCTTCCACTCCCAGTTTTTCTAGATCGAAGTCTCCTGTTCGAACACCATGACCAATTAGGGGACCCTCTTTGTCTCTTTCTGATGTAAGCAGCCTAATAGTTTACTTTAGCCTTAAAGTTCACAATCCTGGAAGACTCCTGATGTAACTGTGTACCAAAGCACTACCATACACCCAGCTGCTTAGAATAAATTGCAGTATATTGGAATTGGTTTTATTATTTTGAAATCAGAGTGTACCGATAAATTACTATCTGATGGTATGTGTTTTTAATTACCGTTCTTGGTTTTTGTAGTGCTATCATATTCTGGAGTGTTTTACAAACTGATTTATAGTGTTGGTTGTTCTGATTTAATAAAGTGTCACAAAACTACAAGCTTAGCTCAACCAATTTTGTACCGTTTGTAGCCTCAGGAAGGGGGTAGAGCAGGGAGCAGAGCGAAGCCCCGTCTTTTTATGCAGGGAACAATGGTGATCAGAGTAGATTTTCCAACCTGCCCGATCAACTTTTCCTCCTTAGTGACATCCTGTGGCAGTTGTACAGGCCTCTATAGATATAAAGTGGTTGCCTGATTGGACAAGTGTCATTTTATAGCAATGGGTAGCATGACATTGTAGTCTAGGGATCTGCTTAAAAAAAAAAAATTAATTCAAATTCTATCCATACTGGTAAAACCTGTTACAACTCGGTGCCGGATCAGATCTGTTGATGTGACAGATCAAATGTGAAACAAAATGTGCATGATGCTAAAGTAACCTAAGGAGTTAGCAATGTAGATATAGTATGCCCATTCCACTTGATGCACACCTGTATTCATATTAAGAACCAAGTCAGGGAAGGTCTTGCATCTGAACTATTCTCATAGGCCACTTGATACTGTGCTGGATAATGCTTTTAGTTAAGATTAGTCTTACCGCAATCTCTTTCTGCACCATCAAAATTATATTTCTCTCCCGTTCATTGAAGGACACAGGGAACAGATCGGAGATCATGTACTGTAGGGTAATATCGCCACCTGCAGGAGAAGGACGCTAGGCACAAAAAAACTAAAGACCAATTACAGCCTAGGGGCGGCCCCTGCCGGTGGCCAAACCCCCCACCTACTGAGAAGTCTCCAGTTTTTTGCCTAGCGTCAGGAGTAAGGAGCTAAGAATTTTCCTCGGTATTCTTACCTGCTTCTTCCTGATTTTTTTTTTCATCCCTGTGTCCTTCAATGAACGGAGAGAAAAGGATTTTACGGTGAGTACCAAAATCCTATTATTGCAGTTTGAATACATGCTAACCTCTAGTAAAATTGGTTGAATAGAAAATCCATAAACCAGCATGAGATCCAACCCCAGCATAGATCGGAGTAGGCCGGCAGAGCTGCAAACTTAGGTGCAGAGATCTCACCACCCGTGTCCCTGGAATGGAATATGGAGGCTTATCCAGCATACTGAAATAAAGCCTTTGTGTGTACTTGCCCTTTTATATGACATTGCATTCACTCTGCTCGTTATGTTGTACCCAAGCAATAGATGACTTTTTAGAAGGCACACATATATTTTAGACCACACAGGCACCCAACAGGGCTCGGAATCTCCCAAAACATAAAGGACCTATCACAGTAGTAGGATGTCTGAGTTCTTAACCTGTGAGGGTACTCAGATGTTGTACAATGCTATGGTAGCGGACTGGTATAGCGGATTGGGATTGTTAGATCACTGCACTCTATAATACACACTTTTCTTGTCTGACAATTGTCTGTGTACTGCTTTTTTTATAAAGTAAAACCCTGTATGCATCTATCTTTCCTCACTGAAAAGCAGTAGTAATCCCCCCTCCCTTGTTCCTCCCCTCTTCACTAGCCCCAGGTCTCTCTCATAATGTTAAATCCATCAAGAGACAAGGGGCTGATTTTTACCCAAAACCACTAATGTGTTTTCAGCGTTGAACTGCTGATGACATCTTAAAAGTCCTCATCGTGCGGCGCCCTCCACACTCCAACAATCAGAACATCTCGTAAACCCATAAAATCCAAACTAATAGCAATGAATATTCAGTGACCTAGAATACTAATTATTGTCATGAATATTAATGCCATCGGACTTGCTTTGATCCCCCTCTTCCTCCTCCCCATCGTCTGCCTCACTCCTGCACACATTTACCCGTATGGACTTTTCTCTTCTCCGTTCACAGCACGCCTGTTTTCTGCGTCCGGTAAAGTTATGTAAACTTGTACCTATTGCGCCCAACTGCAAACCCGCCATTACCCCGCCTCCTTTTCTGTGTGTCTGTATCGTACATTTTCCACACTACTTTCCTATACAATCAGCCGATGTCTGTTTCTTTGTTTTACCTCTCCCACCCACCCTGTATTTTCTTTCATCACCTCTCTTCTTATTTCTCACCCCTTCTGTCACACTTTCCACTCAGCTGTGCTCTGAAGATGTTTCTAATGAGTGTTTAAGATCGAGCTGTGTCCTCTGTGTCTGTGGTAGGGGTAATAACCAGATCTTGATTAACGAGTCAGTAGGGGGGACAGGGTGACAGCAATGCAGTCATGTGCACCCCTCTGGTAGCCCCCCCACTCCTGTGACTGAGGGGAGCGCCTCTCTAGGCATCCTCCGCTCTCAGATTAATAGCATCGCAGGAAGCATTTAGGATACATTGCAAAGGTTTCTATCTAATGGGTTCAGCCATTTCCTCTTTGAGTGACAGGCGCGGGAAGTAATCGGCTGTGCAGAATGGCAGCACATTGCTAGTACTTAAGTGTACATTATCCCTGTTGTGTGTCCTGCAGAGGCTGTTTATCAGGACGCCTCTCGCAGCCGACAGGCGCCAACTGACGCTGCTCTTGCTGTGGTGGGAGCAAGTAAATGTGAGAATAATAATAATAAAAAAGAGGCAGGGAACAAAGAAAAAAATTTAAATAGTTTTACAGCAGAGTAATGCAGGCTCAGTTATAGCGATGGTAGATCTGCCACATCTAAACTTGGGCTTCATGGGTTGTTGGTTTTTTCTTTCAGTGGAAGCCTGTATGTCATTGCTGAGTTTCTTCTGAAAATTCTAGTTGCCTTGCTTCCTCTGACCTCAGTACTTTCTTAGTCACTGACCTGAAACAATCATGCAGTGAGTGAAGTCTGGGTAAAGTCAGAATTTAAATCTGCATACCTGTGCCAGTGCACTGACTCTGAGGACCCATTTACACTTATACATTCCATTCCAGTGCATTAACGTATGAGTGTTACGGCATGCATTGGTGTGTGATGCAGTATGGTAGACCACTCATATTGAATGGTCTGCCATATACCACAGAGGATGAAGAAATGCACCACATGATAATTTTTTTCCTAAAGCAACGCAGTGCACTCTACGGTACATTGCATTGGGGTGCCATTCACAATGGATGCCCCCACAATGCATCGCGCATAGAGCAAATACATCACAATGGGTGTGAATGGGCCCTGAAAGTTTTGAAGTATTTGTATCATAACAGCCAGGAAGCTTTTTTAGAAGGGGAGTGTGAGCTTCTTCAGGCTGTCCTCTTCTATGATCTTCACTGACCTATGATTACCTTCCTACTCTTCTGTCCCATGCATACTTTATCTCCTGCTTCCTATTCATGCTTAGTTGACATTTATTTTAATTGTCCTAAGGTAAAAAATTCAATAGACACACATCTGGTTGTTAGAAAAATCCGACTCTTGACAATCCCTATTTACCAAACATACAAATCCACTATTCAGTGCATACCAGAGTGTAGTTATATTACACCTTTGATGCCACATCCTGGCCAAACTTTTCCAACTCCAAGGACAATGTGGTCTCACTGTGCATTTGGAGGTTTTATGTTTGTGTGCATTTCCACCCACAATGCAAGAACAAGTAGATGAATTGGTTTCCAACCAAGTTGGCATAGTGTGTCTTTGTTTAGCAGCAGCATATACATTAGTAAATGTACAAACCTTCTAATATACACAGAATTACATCAGACAAAGCTATTGAAAAATATAAGAGTATGCCATTTTATGAGTTAGTTCAGTTTCTGGAATTGAGTCAGCTTTCACAATCACCTTTGTGAACTATGCTTTCATCTTTCATTCAGTTCATTGAGAGCTGATAGCTTTGTCATCTCTCCCCTGTGTATCATGGAGCAATACTCAATGCTGCTCTTCCGAAAAGATTGAAAGCAGACTTATCAAACTGTGCAGTGTCTTACTATGTTAACAATGTCTATAGATAGTATGAATATCCATATACATGGCTACAATGTACTTTTCTCACTCTTCTTGACAAATATCTTATAGAGTTACAAACAGCCCAGTTTACTGTTTAAAGGAGAACTATGAGCTGAGTGATTTTCACTCAGCCTCATAGTTCGGGAAGTGAACAAACGCATACCGTCGCTCGCTCACTTCTCGATCATGTCCCTGCAGAGAGCCGTGACTGTCACTCACGGCTCCCTGCAGGGATTTCCCCCCTCCCTTGTCCGATCCTCCAGCGCTGACTGGAGGAATGGATGGGGGAGGTGGTGGGTACAGCTGGCTCTGCCTCTAGATAGGCAGAGCCAGCTGTCACTCACGCAGCTGGGTGGATCTCGACAGTAATGTCGGGATCCGTCCCGGCTTCGGCGCTCTCAGCATACCGCCAGCTGTAGCTCGCGATATACTGAGCTTTGGGTCACGGGAGGAAGCTAGTTTATGTCCTCCCGTTACCCTTATGAGAACTATGGGGAAAAGCACTGACCCCATAGTTCTCCTTTAATAGAAGTACAGCTTTTTATCAGCTGATGGAATAAATACGGGGCAGAAGGTACATTTTCTGATGCTCAGGACTGGATTTCAGTTGGTTTCCACCAAGGCTACTTGTGTTGTCATGTCCTGTGAACACAGATGTATGTGTTTTTTTTAGGTAAATATGTAAGTTAATATGAATACTTTTACCAGATTTGTGATAAATTGTCCCCATAACATTTACACAACAACAAATGCGACAAAACAAAGAAACAATGGACTGCCAAAACCCCCCTCTAAAGTTTATTCTCCCTAGTCTGCAGCCTACTAGGGTCATTCACAAATCTTGGCTTTGTAAATCTGGCCCTGGAAAAATGAGGCTTCTAACCATTGTTACATTGGGTATAGACAACGTTTTGAACCCCCTGCGCAGATACCTTAATCTCCTATTATCTTAATTGCAGGAAATGTGACGACCAGTACGTCCGTTACCCAGATGGCCAGTGGTCCTAGTGGCATTAGCCTGGGTTCTTTTAGTCGCCTAGATGGGATGCACCAGCGGTCATACTCTGTGTCTAGTGCGGATCAGTGGAGTGAAGGTGCTGTCCTAGCAAACTCTGCCATCAGTAGCGGTAAGTAGTCTTTGCATGCTTTGATTTACGTAATATATAATGAATGACTGTAAGCAACATCTGGAGAATTGAAGACTAAGGCTGATGTCTGATGAGCTATTCTGCCACTAGAGCCAAATCACCAGGGGCAGGATCACAATCGTTATAGTCGCCTGTCTGACATCAGCCTAAGTATTTAACAATGCCCCAGGAAGATCATTTACTTTCATATATATATATTTATGCATATCATACACCCCACACACACACGTTATGTATATTTGAACAAATGTCTTGTACCCCTTCCTCATTTCATAAAATGTCAGTTTAAGGAAAGTTGTAGTGTGAGAATTTTGGAAACCCCCATTCTTTTCTGAAAATGCTAGATGCCTGGCTGTCACATAGCTGCATTGGCTTCATTGCTCTCTGAGCCACTGACCTGGAACAAGTGTAGTAATTTTAACACCCATTTACAGCATGCCTGATTTACGTATGTCAAAAAATGAATAAAAGAAAATAATAACTGAGATTGACAGTGTTGCAAGTATAACTTGTATAAACCAATTCATAAAATATTCTTAATCTCGTGCATGTGAAATATTTTACTACTTTTAAACCAATTAAAAGGTACAGCTATCATGTGAGGACAGAGATTTAGATAGCTCTCGGATCTCATTTCATATTGTATATACCGGTATGCACTTGATGCAATCTACTGTTTGTGAACAATAACGTCAGAGAAGATGCATCAGTGGAAATTTTTCAGTTTCTGACCTGTTTCCAGGATCAACATCCACTTCTGCAGAGGAACATTGCCATATCTTAGTATCACAGATGTTGGTCACAGATGTCTCCCTTTTAAGGCCTTGTTCACACCAGACACAGTGCGTTCCGGCCCGATTCTGGCCAGAACGCACTGCATCCGGTCCGAACAAAATAGTGCTTGCAGCACTTTGTTCGGACTGGACCGCAGGCATAATGTGCCTTGCGTTCCCATGTGGCCGATTGCATTGCAGCCGGAGGGCGTGGCTACGGTGCCATTCACTTCAATGGACCGGCGCAGCCCCTCCTGCCCCACAACATAGCCGGCCGCAATGTAGTGTTTTCTGGCCAGAATCAGGCTGGAACGCACTTTGTCTGGTCTGGTGTGAACTAGGCCTAAGACATGTAGTACACAATGCCTCCTGAATACTAAAGGACTGTGTAACAGGCACCCACACAAAAGGATAGAATTGCCCTCAGATGGTTTGGGGAGCAGAGGGGCACTAGGCAGCCAATGCGCAGAAGGTCTTTACATGATAGCTTTTTACTTTCTTGTATTTGGCTACATTAAAACCAATTACAATCAGATTTTATATCCTGTATCCCCTTACCTCCTCCATGACAGTGTCACTTTAGTGGAGTTATGCTTAATGCATTTGTCAAGCTCTACATTGCACATAGTTCTGAGTGGTGGCGTGCAACATTTATAAAGCCATTATGCATTAAAGTACGAGTTTTAATAGATAAAGCGCTCTGTATTGTAAACAATTGCCATTTCCGTGCTGCTAATCTCATCTATCCTCTTTAAACTACTTCCTGTCTACATTCGCTCTCTTCAATGTCAGCGTTGCGCTGGATGTGTCATCACAGCGGCTTGTAGTGTCTAGCAGGGGTGCATGTAACAGGGTGACAATGCAGGAGTACAACTAGGAGACAGTTGTCACCGCAGAACAGGAAGTGCCTGAACAATGATCTTCATGACAGGATCACCAGGGATTCATTTATATAAAGTTGGAAAATTATAAGGACTGGACACTTTTGAAATAACATTAACGTGTTGGCTTCAGTGCTTAGTTTTAAATCTACTTTAATGCTAAAAATAATGAACCTTTCTTTTCTAGCTCAAAAACATGTGTAACATTTTAAGATAGAGCTGTGCTCCAGGCAATGAGCAAACCGTATAAATCTGAGACAATAATCGCTACTGTTTTGAGTCAAGTAAATGGAACAATGCTGCATATTAAGGCATTTAAACCATCCCTTTGCAGGAAAAAGAAAAAGGTCCTTCATGGCATAATATCTCCTATCCCCACAGCCTTCGTCCCCCAAATGCAGAACAATCTCTCCTTCACCTGTTGATGCTTGAAAATACCATTTCTTGCATGCCGAGGCCAGTATATACAGATCAGGACTAGTCAACTGGCCATGATATTCACATGTTCTTTGGTTTAGTAGGCAGCCTAGGTCATTGTTTCCCAAACTTTGGTAACGTACCACCATCACAACCTTCAGGGCTAGTTCACACAAAGCGCGGAGCAGATCCAGAGCAGAGCAGGTGCAGACCGGATCAAAACTGCGTCCAATGTATTCCTATGGTATTTTGAGCTCCAGTTCACATGGCAGCGTGCAGATCCAGAGCAGGTAAAAAAAACTGCAGCAAGCCCTATTTTACCTGCTCTGGATCTGCAAACTCATCAAAAATGCATGCAAATGCCTGGAACGCACTGAAAGCCCATGTTAAACTGGAAGAAACGCGTCAAAAACGCATCTAAAAGACTAGTGTGCGTGAGCAGAAGCCTGACCGGATCTGCTCTGCATTTGGTGTGAACAAGGCCTCATAGTGTCCAGGTTTTACCTGTTCAATGAAAAATTACCACTTTTACTAGCCACACCCCTTTATTTGTGCTGGATGCCACTCATGAATCTTGACTAGAACCTTTATGACAAACTCACTTTCAATGTGCTTTAAAGTATCTAAAGCCATTTATTTTTTTTAGTGGGGAAGGTTTGGAACCTGGTTCAGGTGACAACTAAGAGAGGCTTTCCGTTACTCTGAGGCTTTCTCTCACTTCCTGTTGAGTTTCTAAGCAGAGTGGGAAGGCTGGTCATTATTGAACAGGCCATGGGCCCACGAGACTCTCTCCTGCAGAAGATTGCATGAGTGTCACACAGGAATTCATGAGACCCATGTGATTGGCCCCATTCTTAAGTGTGAATGGGACCTAAATCACGATGCCCATTCCTAATGGGACTCAGTCAAAAAAAAATAGTTTTGGCTTTGTATACACCATCATCATTACATTATCCTACAGCCACTATAGGCAGGTGCATCCTGTCTAATGGTTAAATCTGCAATCCTCCTATAGTACCAGCCACTACAATACTGTTATGTACATAACTCTTGTCTTCTGCCATGTTCTGTCTAATGAAGTTGCGTTCTCCATCAGTTGTACACATTTCATACTTTTAGAGACACTGCTCCAAACTGTTTTTGAAACAGTTACCATGCTGACCATTGTCTGCAAAAGCTGCACCTCATTTTACTAATAATGTGCTGAATGGGAAGTGGTTCCACTAAATAACCCCTGCTGATATGCACTCAATGACCAATCATGATTAGGTTCAGTAAACTTTGCAATTGATTCAAATGTACTCTATAGATGAAGGCTGCCTGTCAGTCCAGGTCCAGCCCTGATTATAGGTATCCATTCATGCAGAATATATAGCAGTGCAACCAAGATTTAGGGGAAAAAAAGGAATTGCCGTTAAATCTATTCAAGGCAGAAAATAACAGATGTTACTGAGATGATTATATCTTTACATATTGTATGTATGAATAATTTGCCCTCTTCCGCTATTGTTCACTTCAAATATCTGGCATTGAGGTTGTTAGTGGAAGGTAGCGACATTCAGTTGTAATTTGCAAAGATAGTCTGGTTCCGGAGCAAAGATTTAGTCGGGAATTCAGGTGATGCAGACAGCAGAGGTAGGAACGTGGCCGTAACCCCATTGAAGTGACTGTCGGGGACGAGGCTTTAAGCTTCTTCCAAGAGAAAGGCACTAGAAAGAGAAAGATTCCTCCGAGTGACAATCTTGTGACGAGGGAAACGGAACAGAGGAAAAGCGAGAAGAGAGATGTCTTCAGAGGCGCAAGAAATAATAACAAGGATTCGTGCAGCCAAAAAAAGACAGCCATACGTTCAAGGGAGGGGGGAGGGTTTGAAGATGTCTCCTGTGAGAGACGCTATTTGTGAGCATTGTCACAGAGGAACAATACAGTCTGCAGAGAGCCCAGAAAACGGCTGTATGTGTTTTTATTCATCTAGATCAGGAACCTTTAAAGGAACGATAACCTTCTCTCCTGTTAATTCCACAGCAGTCAGCTCAGGAAAGAATTAGGGGCCCCTCTATTGGGGCTATATATGGGGAGCATACCTCCTTTTGCAGAATTCAGCTGACAGCATGTCTATGTAGGATTCTAAATGATAGGTTGCAAGGTGACATTGAAGCTCGAAAGGAACAGTTATGCTTATCCTTTTTATCATGGATCCGTCGTGAAATAATACCAAATTGAAATTTCTGACGGACCCTGAAGTTTCCAGGTGGTCATAGGGCAAAAACTGACTTGCATGTCCTGTTAAGGATGTGACACGGGGACTCAAGATTAAACATATGTGAAAGGGGAACTGTTCTTGATGCTTTCAGTAGCTAATCAGATTGTCCCTTCTGTACTTCACTCGAAGTATGAGGGGAGAATCTGGCTCCTAATGACAAAAGAAATAGTTCTTTTGTAAAGTGGACCTATCACTAATACATTTCACATAAATCAGTAGGTTGCATCAGTACTACCAAATCACAATATTTCTTCCCATAGAAGTACATCTTTCTTACCATTAATAAAAACTTTGCCCGTCGACCGAATGCCTGGCATAAATCACATGGACTTGTGCTATCAAGAGTATTGTGGGTGTTCCACACCATTAGAGAGTGAAGAGAGTTTGTTTTCAGTTGAACATACCTTGCCTAATACACTTGTAGTTAGATAATAGGTTAACCAAGGCTTAACCACTGTGCAGCACTACTAAACAGGAAGCAGCGAAAACATGGCTGGCCCATGCATTTATATTTACAAACTGCACACAAAATCAAGGATTTTAATACAGTAACCCACATAGGGAAGATTAAAAGTAAGCTGCACTTGATATCTGATTTATATCTTAATAGAAAAAAAGCACCTCTCTTCTTACAAATGTATAATG